GCAAGAGAAAGGAGGAGTGCTATTAAGCCCCTTAGATGGGGGCAGTGCTCTAAGCTAGATTCACACTGGACAGACTAACAGCGTTCCTCTAAAAACACGTGGCAGCTGTATTCCTAGGGTAGTGAATGGGGCCGGAGTGACAGCCCTGGGGCGTGAGGTTCCAGCTTCACAACACACAGCAAAACAAGTTTTAGCCCCTGCTGCTTTGCTTCCACCTGAACCCGATGGGGCCCCCGCGGGCTTCACTGCCAGCAGGGCCAGTTGTGAGGCAAACGCCCAGGAGCTCTTTGATACAGGCCAACACCTGTCAGGGGCTAGTGCCAAGTACACCGGGGACCACTTCGTTCCTGGTCACAGGTTCCACTCCAGAGTTCCCTGCTCCCCTGTAACAGCATAGCCAGCATGGCACCGGAGACAGGTCGGGGCAACCTCCATGCTGCTGCTGCTTGAGCGGGGGCAGCCCCACATGTGCACCGCATCTGAACTGGCCTTGCTTGGCACTGCAGGGCAGGACCCCAGCTCCAATGGCTCCCACTATTACCTTGGCAGGCTGGTGAAGACAGCGCCAAACGGCTCCTGGCCAGACCCGGGAGGAGTCCAAAGAAAAGCGAGGCGCCCCGTTAGCCCACGTGTGGCAGAAATAAAATACATTACGGCACGTAGGACCATGGTCGCTGCACCCAGGGCTCAGGGTTACACTAACTGCTGGCCGCCTTCAGCTTCTCCACGGTTGCACCCTCTGCCTCTGGATGCCCCTTCCTCACAGAGCTCGGCAGGGGGGTGCAGACGCTCCCAGGCACCGCTGGCGGGGGGGCTGCAGCAGCCAGTTCACCAGTTGTCTCAGTCTACGTCCCTGGCACTCTGGGCCCAGCCCCGAGCCGTGCGTGAGCAGTTCCTCCTAGCTTTGCTCAGCTGTAGAACAGTCATTGGTTGCCTATAAAAAGCCATATAGAAAAACTGTCCCCAGCTTGTGAACGTGCCCATCCCCTACTCCAAGGAAAGATAAACCCCCGAAAGTGGCAGGAAACACCCCCCCCCCTTCTATACCCACCCCCTTCACGGGGCAGGGCTGCTCCTCCCCGGGAACGTCTGCCACGGAGCAGCTGGGCTCAGTTTTTCAACAGACGACACTTTCCTCAAAGCAAACCCCCAATTCTTAGCTGGAGCTGGGTCTCCTCTGCTGCTGGTCCTCCTGGGCCGAAGCCAGATCCACCCTCTGCTCGTCCATACGCTTGGCCTGGACGCGCTGGATGAGGCTGAAGAAGTCTTCGTCAGGCATGGTGGGGCCACGGGGGACGGCGTCCGGGGGAGCGCAGCGCTGGTCGTCTATCCGGGATGACTGGCACGGCCGAGGGGAGGAGAAACAGGCGTTAGAAACGGTTCCCGCCCGAGCGCAGGGGATTCCGCGAGCGCTGGCTTTATCTGGCTGGGGAGACAGCGAGCGCCCTGCAGCTGGCAGGAGCCCAAAGGGGTTGTCATGAGGAGGTGGGCAGAAGAATCCCAACCTGGAAACAAAGGGAGCCAGGAACAGTGGGCCTGAGCCCAGGGCTTTGGGGTGGGGGGAGGAAGGAAGGGAGGAAGGGGCGTTTCACAGCTGTTTAAAGCAGGATTCACTCCAAAGCCTTTTATGGGCCAGCCTCTCAGGCCCCCCTTCCTCCCGGTTTGCAGGCAAAGCCTGGGCACCGTGCACTCACTGGACAGGCGTGGGCCCTGTGCCTCGGCCTACCTCACGGCAGGTGTCAGTCACAGAGCAGCACAAGACTTTGACTGGCACCTGCTCTTCTGTTCTGGAGGCACAAATCTGGGCAATCTGAGAGGAGGCTGAGCCCTTGGCTGGTCTTGCCCCATGTTCGTACAGGGCTGCCGACTGTTCGGGATGGGCCCGAGGAGCGGCAGGAAAGCTGGCGCTGGCCCTGGCCGAGCAGAGTCTCACCCCTGGGGTCGGTGCAGAAGAGCAAACTGCCTACCTGGCACTTCATGAGCATGTTGAAGAACTCGTCTCCTGGCTCCTGGGCATCCCCCTCCATGCGCAGGTGCCCCAGGTTGTTGTGAGTGATGCGGAGGCCGGGCAGGCTGCCCACGCTGGCACGCTGGTCATCCAGCCGCCTGCTCTGGGAGCTGGCGATGAGATCAAAGAACTCCTCTGTCTGCGGAGATGCTATTAACGAGGACTGAGCTGCAGGGGAACAGGGAGAACACCAGGGCGTCAGGCCAGGGAAGGGGCCTGTGTCACGGCGCTGTTCAGCTCTCATTAACTCGTTCGCCACCCCTCTGAGGTCCGGGAGCCAGGACACCTGGGTTCTGTTCTGGGCTGTGACACTGATTTACTCGGTGATCTTGGGTAAGTCACTTCGCCCCTCTGTGCCTCTCAATGCCACCCTCCCTGCCTTTGTAAAGCACTTATGGCCCCCGTAAAGCTCAAAGTGCATCACTATTAACTAGTAAATGATCCCCTTTTAGAGGTGGGCAAGCTGAGGCAGTGAGCGGGCAAGTGAGGTGCCCAAGGGCACCCATCTAATCAGTGGCAGAGCCGGGATTAGACCAGGCCTGTGGTCAGCCGCTCTCAGCAGACAGGTCATTTGAGCTGCCTTTTTTTTTGCCCCACTTGATCTCTTAACTACCCGCCCCCCCCACTAAGAGTAACCTCATTTCCCTGCCCTGAATGGGCTCACCTGACCCACAGGAGGAGAGAAGTGAATTGCAGCCATTTCATCTAATTGCAAAGAAGAACAAATGACCAAGACTTCTCTTTTAGAACAGTGGGTCTGGCCCAGCCAAAGCTGCATGGCCCGTCTGAGCTGCAGGCAACTCCCGTTACCAATGTGCAGAGCCGGCCAGGGCCCCGTTTCAGACCACGCTTTCTGAAATCAGCCAGCTAAAGTGACTGCCACTCCTAGGGAGAGCAGACAGCTGGCGCTGTGAACTTCCCCTCAGCAGTGCCACACAATCCACTCAGGCTGGGTGTGCTGAAGGCCTTGCAAGGAGCGCGCTCACTCAGAGCACAATGGCTGGCGGGACCTTGCGTGAGGAAGACACGAAGACTCAGTTTGCACCCTGAACGCTGGCCTTGGGAGCAGCACACGCTGCGGCTATCGTTTTCTCTATGGCATTAAAAAACCTTTTAAAAGATCAGAGGGGGTTTATTGCCTGGCTTGACACAACATCAATAAAGTCTAGACGGTATCAGTACCTTCCTGGAACGAGGGCTCTGTGAGTGCACAAACACCGGGCAGCGAAGGGGGAAAGCAGCTGCCTTTATAGGGTAAACCGCAGAAACTCTGGCTACACATCTCCCCCTGGCTGACAAGGCTGCGTTAAGGGAGCAGGACAGGATATTAATTGCACTTGGACCGTTGATTTGATTAGATTAGGGAAGAGATGCCTCATTGACGTGGCCTTTCAAGAAGATACCAAATCTTTAGCACTCTCATTGCATTACCAGCCCTCTGCCTGTGAAGCCACACGAGCAAAAACTGCACCTTACTCCGGGGCCATGAAACCCTGTCCCCCATACATCTTCCCCACTGCAGTGCTGACTAGTACCCAGCACCGGGATTCCCGGGGTCCATCTCCGGCTCTCCTAGCGAAGGCTGTGCTGCCCCAGGAGCTTAACTCCTGTGCCTCACTTGACCCCTCCAGATCAGGAAAGTAATACTTCCCTGCCCCGGCCCGGGGTGTGCCGCATGGTCTGGAGCGCCTGGCACCGCTCTAGTGCTATACAAAGGGTTAGAAACGCAGCATTCCAAGCTCTCAGCCCCCTGCTGCCTCTTGGCTCCCATACGCTGCTGTCGCTACAAGCAGCGAGCTCCCGCTGGGAGCGGCTGGCAAGGAGCGCAGGAGAATGCAGCGGGGAGTGGCTGAGCGGATCAGGGAGCAGAACGTTGCCCTCAACGCGGGCATAGGCGTACAAGCGGCCTTTTAAGGTCCGACATGAGCGAGTGGTTCTGCCTTTGAGAACTCCTGGGTGGTGGGACCAAACAGACCCGTTCCTGGTTACAACGTGTCCTCGAATTGCCCGTGCTGAGCCCTGAAGCAGCCTCCTCAGTGCAACTGCAGATCCCAAGTCAGTTAATAGGCCATGATTACAGTGAACCACCGAGGAACTTGTCTGAAAAGACATTTTCCACCTTCCTCATTATTAAGCCTAATTTTAGGATTCGGAGGCAGGGGCCGGCCCGTTCCAAGTAGGCGGTAGTTACAGAAATTGTGCTTGCAATTGATTCCAAAGTCCCTGGAAGCTTGAGTGGCTTTCTGTCTTGCGCTCAGGCAGCCTCCTACCAGACGCCCCATGCAATTACAAAGGGTGGGCTATAATTAGAGGCCATGTAATCAGCCAAGTGCAAGCAGAGGTAAGTGATTCATCAGACAGCTCGTCCTTTCCGAGTCCCCCAGACAGCACTCGCCTGTCAGGTCCGGTGCAGATACGGTATCTGCCGGTGCAATGGCTGCGGACGTTCTGTCCAGCACAAGGCAGCGGGACCTGCGTCAGAGCGCCTGCCTTAGGAAATCACAGTCTGCGCCTGGTTCTTTTCAGCCCTCCCAGAGCCAGCCTGCTCCTCCGACGGCTGTCTGTCCGGGCGTGTGCTTGGGAGCGAGAGCGCGAGCCAAGCTCTCTGCTGATGTAAACGGGCTCAGTTCCATTGGCTTCAATGGAGTTTTGCCTGTTTCCCCCAGTGGAGGACTTGAGCCATGACGTCCCACCACCCTCCTTAGTGCTATGCTCACAAGTGCACACACTCCCAATGCCACCTAAAGATTCCGGTGCTGCCTCCCAGTGAGAAACAAGAGACCAGCAGGCACTTGCAACTCGCGCTGCTGGCACAGACAGCCCCCCGAGCCGAGGAGCTGGCGCTCCAAGGGAGGCGCTGTGCTCTGTCTTGGAGCACACCCGTGGGCAACCCAATGGCCTGTGATGGGATGTTAGATGCGGTGGGATCTAAGTTACTACAGAGAATTCTTTCCTGGGTGCTGGCTGGTGAGTCTTGCCCACATGCTCAGGGTTTAACTGATCGCCATATTTGGGGTCAGGAAGGAATTTTCCTCCAGGTCAGATTGGCAGAGACCCTGGAGGTTTTTCGCCTTCCTCTGCAGCGTGGGGCACGGGTCACTTGCTGGAGGATTCTCTGCACCTTGAGGTCTTTAAACCACGATTTGAGAACTTCAATAATTCAGACATAGCTTAGGGGTTTGTTACAGGAGTGGGTGGGTGAGATTCTGTGGCCTGCGTTGTGCAGGAGGTCGGACTAGATGATCATAATGGTCCCTCCTGACCTTAAAGTCTGTGAGTCTATGAAACGTGGTTGGGGGAAGCGAAGGGAAAGGTGCATGGCAAGCTCAGCCAGCGGCTAATGTCCGTACGTGCTGGCTAATGTCCCTACACCTAAGTGCAGACTTGTGCTGCCAATGCCCATCATGCTTGGCATGACCAGGTCTGGATGGCACCACATCTGGCACTGCTGGGAACCTCAGAGAGGAGGTTTTTCAAATGACACGTAAGCAAACAGAAGGCACTGCACAACGAAAACGTTCAGTCGCAAGCCCTGAAACAACATCCAACAGTCCATGAAAACAGCTGGGTGGTTCCTTTTTGCTGCTGGTTAGGAATGAAACATTCCCCCGCAATGTAGAAAGCCAAACACGCTGACACCGGGCGAGTAAAGGGGACCCAGTAAATAACTCTAAATAGAAAGTAAAACAGGGCACATAGTTCTACTGTCTAAGCGAGAGTGCAAATGAATTAAACAGCACTGTGCCCAACTCGCACTTTTATCGAGTGTCTCATGGTATTTGCTGTTGTCCTTAAAGCCTCCTGTTGCAGAGGCAGGGGCGGCTCTATGGTTTTTGCCGCCCCAAGCATGGCAGTCAGGCGACCTTCGGCGGCACGCCTGTGGGGGGTCCGCTGGTCACGCGGATTCGGCGGTGTTTCTGCGGGTGATCTGCCGGTCTCACGCCTTCGGCGTACCCGCCACCAAATTGCCACCGAAGCTGCGGGACCGGCGGACCTCCCGCAGGCATACCGCCGAAGGCTGCCTGACTGCCGCCCTCACGGCGACCAGCACACCGCCCCCCGCGGCTTGCCGCCCCAGGCACGCGCTTGCTACGCTGGTGCCTGGAGCCGCCCCTGTACATGAGAATCTCAGTTTTCATTTAAAAAAGGAAGTAAGGCCCAGACCCTCAAAAGGGATTGATTCCAATGAGAATTTGGCCCAGAACCTCAAAGGTATTTAGGCACCTAAGTTTCTAGCCATCAGGGTTGTGGAGCAAAGCTTCAAAGTATGAAGTGAGGACAGCCCAACGGCTCAGAAATCAGGAGCCGAATCAACAGAGCTCCAAATTCACGTATTTATTAACAAATCATGTTTTTTAATCCAGCCTTCTGCTCTGGAGTTCTAAAGCCAGGCTTGGAACACCTGGGCTGACGGTAATATTGAAACAGCTTAAAGGCTGCTGCTGTCTACAGCTCCCTCGATTACAGCCCTTGGCACAGCTGGGAAACCCACGCTGGTTTCTGCATCGGCAACACGCGTAGCTTTACAAGAACGATGCGCACATCCAGGCTATTTTTAGGGTGAAAAAGCCACCTGACTCGGAGCCAGTCTGTGCTCCCTGTCACAACACAACCTGACCTTTTCAGCACTATTTAGCTCTCGCTGCTGCCAGCTCTGTATTCCCGAGGTGGTTCGGTGCTGCGTCTCACATATCGGCCTTGTTAGGGATGTCGGGTGTCTTGTTTTAAATCATCTTTTAGGGTTGTTTGTTCCAAACGGCATCGTTTGATCAAAACCGTATGGAACAAATAAAAGGGTAAAGTGCCATAGAAACGGCTTTTAAAGCGAAGAGTTGGATACTAGTCTCTTTAGCCATTGCTTTCTGATTACTGTTTAAACACATCTCGTCACAGCCTTGCAAAATGGCCATGAAAATATACCAGTCCAGGCACCCAATCTTGCCTAGCCTTACGATGTTGATAGCACTACCATCTAGTTTATCTACCTATTCATTCAGCTATCTAAGATCTTCCTGTGGTTATCTACCTATCTGTGCTCCTTGGGTCTCCTATGGTTTATCTTTCTCTCCAGCACCGTTCATCATAGTATCTACGTGCTGAACAAAATTCAGAAGCACAAAAACCAAATGACAATTCCAATGAAAAAAACCTAACACTCTTTTACTTGCCCATCCAAAATCACGGCAAATGACCCAGGTGTGTCAGCAAATAGACACCTCTAATTGCAAGACCGCCTTAACGATTAATAATACACCTCTACCCCGATATAACGCGACCCGATATAACACAAATTCAGATATAACGCGGTAAAGCAGCGCTCCGGTGGGAGGGGGCACGGGGCTGCGCACTCCGGTGGATCAAAGAAAGTTCGATACCGCGTTATAGGTGAAACCACGTTATAAGATTTTTTGGCTTCCAAGGACAGCATTATATCGAGGTAGAGGTGAACTTAGCGCTTATAGCACTTTTCATCCAGAGCAGGAAAGTGCCTTATAGCCAACCCCAAAATTTTGGGGTTCTTTTTATTTGTGTCTTGGTCCTTGTGCCTTTGGGGCTCATCTTTTCAAGCTTTTCTCTGAAACCAGGAAAGATACTTTTGAACAAATGAAAGCTGAGATTCTCACATAAGCACCTGACTCCAGGAGCTGGGGATTTAAAAGAAAACACCAACTATTGCCAGACTTGTGGTAAATTCATGAGAACTGGCAGCACTGCAGACATGTCATTACTCTCATTAACGAGAGCCCCCAAATGCTTACATATTCTTTCTTCCAGGGCAGGCACGGAGGTGGCAGCAGCCTCTGCAGCCTCTGTTTGGCATTCTTCTAGCGGGCAGCGCTGGTCATCCATTCGACTGCTCTGGAACTTGCTCAGCAGGTCAAAGAAGCATTCCTCGTCTGAAGGGGCCCGGCTGATTTTCTGCAAAGAAGAAAGAAAACAGAAGAAGTCAAGCAATCAACAGCAACTCCTTGCATCTGCAACTGCTGACTTACATATATACAAGTTTCCTGCCCTGTCCTAGGCCAAGTGGAGGCCGGATTCCCTGCTGCTCGGTGCTGCAGAATGGAGCCGACAGAGAGGGTCAGCGCTATTTGACTCTCTGCTTGGCTCCGCCCCCAGCCACAGGATAGGTTAGAGCAGTTTGGGGGCCGCTCTAACCTGCACCAGCTGGCAATGACCTCCAAGGGACTGTCCGCACCTCCTTCCCTCCCCCAGTTCACTCCTTGGCCAGAGCTATGAGGGTAAGGCATAGAAACTGCCTCTGTCCCTGCTGCAGCTTCTCTCCCCCCACACCACCCTTAGCAACCCCAGCTGGGACATGTGGTGGGTTCTGCAAAGGGAGCAGAGCAGGACAGCGAATGGTGCCTCCGGCAGTCGTCAAATTCCCTTTCACTCAGCTCATTGCTCATCTCCCATTAAGGCGGCTCGTTCCCAGCGCAGGTGTCCCGCCAGGCATACAGCTGCATTGTGTCTCCATCCAGTCCCGTCTCCGAAATAGCTTCTCACTGTTCTTCTCCTTGCCTTTCCATCAGGGGACTGTAAAACTAGCCTCCAACGGAAAGAAAGATCATGCCGCCCCACACTACCCCGGCAAGGCAGAGTTACCTTCCTTTGCAAGTGCTCGCCTTCAGGGGCTATGGTCAGGGAGCATTTGCAAAGGCACAAGGTGAGCAGCCGTCACCGTTCCTTTCCGTTCCACCAGAGGAACATTTGTGGCAAGTCGTTCTGTTAAATAATCCAATCACGTTCCAGCCGACCCTGGGAAACTCTGGAGGCATTCCAAGCAGCCTTTGGCTGGGGCCGCGTTTCTAGTCTTCCTTTGGGCTCCTAGCAATGGGGAAATTAGCCTTGCTGTCCAACAGCCTTCATGGCTACAGAGCATAGTGACCACATGGGCGAGCTCTCTCCTGGCACGCCGGGATCGTGCTATTGCTGGGAGAAAAGGCTGGTTCTAAAGGAGAGAGGGAGGGAGTTCCGTCCCCTTGCACGGGAGAGGGAATTAGTTACTGAGCAGTGTTGGGGCAGCGAAGTGAAAGAGAGGAGATCCGGACAGGAGCGGAGTCAGCCCGGGGAGCATTTAGGAACCTGGGAGCGGGACTGGGCTCGAAGTCAGAGAGGGACAGGAAGAAGTGAATGAGATGGACCCTAGGGTATCACATAGAACCCCCTTCTGGTGTGTTGGCCCCAGCCCCATCCTCTCCCTTTGCAAGGTTATAGCCCCGTAGGCACAGACAGCGAGTGTTCCTCTCAAACCAGCTAAATTTAGACTCCCATAAAGGCCTCCACAACGTGAGCTTCCCAGCGTTCTTCCTTCCTTTGTGTTATCCACAGGAGACCGCTGGTTATAACAATCATCGCGCTGCAAATGCCACTCAATTATAGCTCGTCAGGAAAACAATTCTCGCACGAGAGCCCCAAATGAGCACCTTTCACCAGACAGCCATCTATTTAAGCTGTGCTGTGGAATGGATTTGCTTCCAAAGCCTCCATGCACAAGCCCTGTGGTGTGACCAATTCCAGTTCAGACAGATGTGTTTTTATGCCATTACCAGGCACGCTTCGTTAATGGAGTAAACACAGAGTCCCCCCTTTGGCTCAGCCAAATGCAGCGTAAGCAGCAGATTTCTCTGAAGAATTACTCAGAATTGGATGTGAAATTAGAAAATGAGACGAGAGGCATCTGCCAGGCTCAGGGGGGCTCTGCCTGGGCTGGGGATCTGGTACCGTCACACAGGCTGGTCAGATGCTACCAAGAGCAATGGATAAAATCAGTGGACACTGATGAACTGCTGATATCCGCTCAGTGACCCATTGACATGAGCTGATGGCATGGATGGACTGACAGCACCAAAACCAAGAGCAATTATCAATATTATGAAGACCCAGTTCTTCAAAGGGATTTAGGCACGTAACTCCCATTGAAACCAATGGGACCCTGAAACCAATGAGAGTTGGGCGCCTAAATACCTCGGAGGATCTGGACCTATGAGCCCCAAGCAGGATCAGGTCCCCATTGTGCTAGGGGGGAGGGATAGCTTGGTGGTTTGAGCCTTGGCCTGCTAAACCCAGGGTTGTGAGTTCCCTCCTTGAGGGGGCCATTTAGGGATCTGGGGCAAAAATCAGTACTTGGTCCTGCTAGTGAAGGCAGGGGGCTGGACTCGATGACCTTTCAGGGTCCCTTCCAGCTCTATGAGATAGGTATATCTCCATATATTATTATTATTATTATAGGCGGTGCACAACCACCTAGCGAGAAAAAGTCCCTGCCCTGAGGCATTTATGATCTAAACAGACAAGTCAGGCAAAGGGCGGGAGACAGGAAGGATTATTACAGGGCTTGAGGTGAAGTGCTCTGCCAAACGGGGGCTGTAGCAGAGAGGGGACTGACCCCCGATGGCCCGTGTCCCAGGGCCTTCACCGCACAGCCATCCCTCCAGTCAGGCGCTTGCCTCAGCAGAGAGGTGCTTCATGAATGGGGCCCACAGCTTGAACCCCCTTCTCTCGCCCGCTACAGATTGGTCCCTCCATGCCAGTCAGTGGGGAATTGCGGGTGCCTGCCCTGGCGAGGGGGAGATTTAGCGCTCGGGTTAGCGAATCTGGAGCTATTCTCTAGCACAACGTTCACTGACCACAATCAAACCGGTCTGGTTCCAAGCCGGATGAAGCAGGGAAGGCACGTTTCGTGCGAGAGGGGCCAGCTCACTACCTGGCCACACCCCGTCCGTACCTAAGTCCATCTGACAGCCCCTCTTCTGCTGTGCTGCTTCGATACACTGAGCTGGCTTGTACACAAATCACCCTCCCCCGGGCCACTTGTCCGTGTGCCGGTCTTGTCCTTAGATTGCGAGCAGCACTGCTCTCCACGAGGGCCTGCGCCTGGAAAGCACAAGTGCACAGCAGGTGCTAGTGCAAATACACACTAATAAACGAGCTGGCTGCGCTTGTGGAGTTGGGGAGCATTCGGCCTTCAGGCTCAAGTGATGTGTGGGACACCAGGGAACCCCGTTGTGCTACTGCTTCCACAATGCAATGCCTGGCTGGAGATTTCTTCTTTAATGCACCAGCAGCGCCTTCAGACAGCCGTTCGAAGAGCTCACCAGACTTTGTTGATTTTAACCCTTTGCATTCTACGTTTTCCAAAGCCCCTACCGACACCAGCTCCTTTCTCCTCCCATCATCCCTGAGAGGTAGGGGAGGTCTGAGCCCTATTTTACAGACTGCGGAGCAGAGGGGTCAGGTGACTTGGCCCAGGTCACACAGTGGGTCACTGGCAGAGCCAAGGATAGAACCCAGGCGTCCTGGCTCCCAGTCCCCTGCTCTGATCACTAGAATCTGCTTCTCTCATGGACACTGAAGTACAAAATGAAGTAAAGCTCCGATGCATCCTGGGATAGAAGCGCTTAGAGATGCTCACGTCTTAATGTAAAAAACAAAAAACAAAACAAAAAACACCTTCCTTTTCTTCCTGGTTTTGGCTTTTGCAGCCTTGTGCATCTGCACTAATTTGCCACCTAAACCCCCACAACTCCCCCCGTCACACTCACCAGCTTTTGGCAGAGGTCTGGACAGGGATTCCCATTGGGCTCCTAACTTGGCCAGCACCCTGGAGTGACTGCAGCCCCTTCCCAATCAGGGAACAGGGCAAGGTGTAGCAGAGTAAAAGCCACGTGTAGCGCCCAGGTGGCTGCACTCAGCCCTTAGGCCCAGCCCTTTTAGCACAGGGCCATGGAGACAGAGAGGGCATCAGAGAAAGGCTTCAACTCATTCAAGATCTGAAGCAACAGGTGCCTGCTGGTGGCAAGGAAAACCTGGAACTCCAGCCCCGGAAGCGTAGGGCACTGGAGCAAAGCAACAGGAGAAGTCAGAGTTCGGCTTCTTTGCGGACTCTGGGATCATCTCAAGCTTGTCAGCAAAGCTACAGGTTGTCCATTATGGAACCGAGTCTGGTGCAGAAGAAGCCATGGGAGGCTTCTCTTATGGGCCCCTCCTCGTTCTAGCCCCGTGGAGAGCCCTTCTAAACAGGTGAAGACGACTTCGAACAAAGGGCAGCTTGGTTGTTTTCAAAGGGGATGGAAAATCCCCAGGAGAGAGTTGTGATGAGGGGGTTAAAGCAATGGTTTTGGCTCAGTAAATGAAGGAAAATAATGTTCTCTTATGCTAAGCAAACCAGACGAGATACATTCGACTTCTATTTAGGGCATCGTCAAAATTAGCAACAGGCCAGGCAACGGAACATTTGCAATCTGGGAGCTGATCAGGGGAGGGGAGGAGTAAAACCCCACCTCTTCCATGTGCTGATCTGCTAATAAAATGGTGTGTTGGAAAGAGCCTCTGAACCAATAATAGCTGCACCCTGGAAATCAAAGGGTTTACATTGAGGATGTGCTGCATTTATTACAGTTCTGCCACCTCAGGTTGCATGACCCAAATTTCATGCGGGAGAAGAAATTCTGCTCTCAATCAGACCGATTCAACCCAGCTGGTTTCGGTGGGGTTGCACCGGGAGTAGCATTTGGTCGAGAGAAGGACTCTGACTTCAGATGTGCAAACATTAGGGAAGTGTCATGGGGGAGGAAAAATTAAGCTAAGAAGTGATGCCATGCGCTCCAGAGAGCCGAGTTCAGATTCCGCCATCGTGTGAAAAAATGAGCTTCTACTGGATACTTTGTCTGGGTCACAAAAGCATCGCACAGTTTCAGGTGACTGGCAGCCACTGCTCAAGAAAGGCCCAGGGCTAGGACAGGAGGGAGTGTTTTGCCTGATCTGTGAGAGGAGTCAAGGACTGGAAGAGCCAGGGGGTGGTGTGCCAGGACCTGGGACAGCCTGGGACCGGTCAGGCAGGTTCAGAGATGGAGGCATGCTGGGGAAGCCGTACAGGAGTCCAGGGCTGGACTAGCAAGGGGAGCTGCAGATCAGGG